CTTCGTCCTCTACATTTGTAGGTTTCTACAACAGGCAGTTGCTGTCCATTTGAAACTTAGATTCATTATGAATACTCTACCTAAACAACCGTATAACACCAAAATTTAGTTTTTTATTTAATTAGACACTTAATGTTTTGCTTTACAGCTTCTTTTTGTTTTTCAGGATAGACCTCTTCATATATTGCTCGTGTACAGCTGTCTGTATAAATGTTACGTAATTATGGAAAGGAAAGTGGGTAGATCCCACAGTCATCTCTCAAGATTTAAAAAAAATTCAGGATTTCCAAAAACAGAAATGTTTAAAAACCACTGCTCTATTATATTAACATATCACATGTATTATTCTTCATCACACTCATGTAAACTAAAAGAGTGTGAATTAAATGTGCATTGTAGTCATAACTTAAACCTGACCTTGCCAGTTCTTTTTATAGCATTCCTTTTTAAATGAAAATCTTGAAAGCAGTTAAGTGAATTATCTCAGCCTTGGTGTGTATGTGTGTGTATGTCTTTTGGAATTTTTATACTTGGATACATGTAGTCTTACTGAAAACAGTTTTCACCGAGAAATATAAAGGTATTAAACAAAAATTTTAAAAAGGGAAACAAGTTTTGACAGACAATAATAAAGAAGTCTGCTGTTTAAGTATGTAAAGTTGTATGCAGCCACATTGTCATGTGACTAATAATTGTCTACGTATTTGTTAAGAGATAACAATCCCAGCTTAACTTCATTTCTCATCGTCATATTTTCTGTGTAGTTTCTAAACTCTGTCTTTGGTAGATTTTTATAGACATTAAGTTTATGATTTTTGATCTAAATATTTCCTTATTGTTAAATATCAGTTGTGAACATTGGATGACAACAGAAATGTCAGTTAATTCATTTCACTGTTGCATTAGTATAAATCTGTTTCATTTTGCCATGTTTGATTGTCCTAATTAAGGATTTAGAAATCATCCAGAAACACTTGTAAAAGTATATACAAATTGTGCTTTATTATAATTAAATGTTGATATTTCAGTATAATGGTTAAGGACAGAATGATTAAACTGGAATAGTGTAAAAAAACATTTAATTTTGCAGTGAGAACTTGTTTTAATCTAATAACAGACAGAAGGTATGTTGAAATATTTGTAACAAAATTGTATATTTTACTCCTCTAGTGACAAGAGAAGCTGTTTCCCTAGAAGAAGAATCTTTAAATACAGTCTTTAATTTTAAAATAAAAAAAGAGAAGTATGAAGAAGTACCAAAGGAAACTGAGGTAATCTTTATATAAAAACTTTTATAATTCTCTTAATACAGCAAATATCTAGATAATTTTCTCAAACATTTATGCACTTAAGTAGTTGTGTAGTAACTGTAATTAATTAGTTTACAGTTGTGGTTTTTTAAGTAAGTACTTCAAAAATGAAAGTAATGCTTCAGTGGTAAACTTTAGATCAAATAGCTAATTTTTATCATATCATTGTTACGTGCTTTCTTACACATTAAATTGTGGGAGAGATCTGACTATATATGGTACTAGAAGAAGTATGAAAGTTGACCTAAAAATTTTGACACTATGAATCCTAATCAGACAATATTAACATGATTAGAAGTTGCAGGAGACAGAGTCAGAATGATAGAGGACAGTGAAAGGTTTACATTCCTCGAGAAAACCCCAAAAAATTAACTAACTGTTATAACTGAAGCATTTGTTTGAACTACATTTTGCTACTAAAATAACAGTTTTTGAATTTTTTCTATTTCTTTGTGTTAGAAATATAGAGATTGAAAGCTACAGAAAGAATGGAAAGTTGAAAATAGTAATAATTGGAAACAGTAATTTTAATTAGTTAATTATTTTCATGAGTCATGACACTAACGAATTATTAAGTTGAACAACCTTATATTAATAGAAAATAATAAAAATCATATTGGCAATATTTTGATTATTTGAATAGTTAGAATTCTCACAAATGGTAATTATTGGAAACATTAATTTTGACTAGTTGATTATTTTCATAAAATTAACAGATTTAATTGTAATTTTTGTTAATCGATTATTTTATGTGACATTAATTGATGAGATTGATTATCATGGGTAATACATTGTATCAAGTTAATTGCCCAGCTCAAGTGACTCATTATTATAAGCTAAAAACATTCTACTTTTAATGATGTATCAAAATATGTTAATTTACTGTTAAATTTTAAATTGTATGCACTTACATTTTTATATATTAAATTTCATCACTATTGTACTTACCCTGACATGAATGTATTGTGATCCGTATTGCTTCCAATAAAAATAAGTACCATTACAGTACATGGAACTGTCACATACAAGTGAAAACACACCAGCTACTGACATATCTTGTGTTTATGTAAAACAGTTTTTTTAGTAAAGTTATTGGTTAGTTTACTAAACAAACTGAAAGGATATGATTCTAAAACAAGAATACCAGTGGTAATTTATCATGTTTTACATGTAGTATAGGTGTTCTATATTAACAACATTGGTTATTATTGGTCTTTGTGTTTTAGAACACATTTGTCAAAGTAAAAATTGGACAAAGTGGTGATTCAACAAAAGATGGAATTATTTCCAAGTTCAGTGAGAGTGATGATGAAACTGTTGATTGTTCACAACATGATATTATATGTGTGAAAAACGAAATTGAACCAGAAGAGGAGTTTCAACAAATTAATTCTGGATCAGAAGGTTTATCAGGTGAGTGTAAACTTCAATAACTATATCGATTAACCATATGGTGGAAGACATACTAGTAGTAAAATGGTGTTGCTGAATTGTGTTAAATAATATTAATAATGTACAGTTAGCTCATACAGACAACTCTACCATGGTAGCTTACATCAACAGTCAGGTTGGTACTCGTCCTTGCAGCCTTTGTTTTTTTTTTTAACAGTTTTTCTTCTTTCTTGGCTTTGTTCTCAACATGTTGACCTCTGAGTCTACAAGTTTATGGTGTGATTAACATTTTGGCTGACTCTTCACACTTTAATTTTTCAATGGATATCCAAATATGCTACACTGACCAACCATCTTCTCTTCTATTGAGTTGTAGTTCCAAATCTAAATTCTGTGGCAGTGACTCTTCTCATTCAATCTTGGAAAAAGTTTTCTTCCTTTATTCTCCATTTCATCTTTTTCTTCAAGTTTTGGTCAAGATCAGTTACTTAAAGTGCCAGTTTCTCCTTTTCCTGGTCAACCATAGTTCCCCTATTACGTCAACTTTATTTTTGTAACCTGTCCCATTACCAGTGTGGAATCATATTTTACAATAGTATTTAGCATGTACCACTTCACATCTGGCTAATGTTTGGTTCTTTGTCCAGGAAACCATATTCTCTTCACAGGTGACTCAAATATTAGCCCATTTTTGTAAATATACTTCTTTGGCTGTTTAGTATCATTAGACAATTTTCTGGACCTGATTCTCTAGACTTGCTATACCTTGTTTATATCCAACTCAACAAATATCTTCTCTCCTTATGTATTTGTTTCATAACCATAACACATCAGCTTCTTCTTTAACTGATTACAGTAGAGCTGCATTATCTGTCACTGTCAGATGCTATATTAGCCATTAATCCCTTTTTTCTCCATTATTCATAGTCTTCTTATGAGCCTTTCTTTTCCACAACCCCAAATTACTAGACATTTTCCTAACTGTGACTTGGGTTTGAGATTACGTTTCTTGGCCTCTCCTCTTTTGAAGTTATAGTACCTTCTGTGCTCTATCATATTTGTTTTTAATTAGTGTCGTTGGATGAACAATGTTCAGAAATATATATGTACGCCCTTGATGCTTCTTGTATCTTATGTTCTCAGAAAAGCTTATACTTGTACCCTAATTGTGCCATTATAACTAAAATTTGGACAGTAAGACAAGGTAACCAGTATGCGATGTTTATCTATCTTGAAATATTTGGCACTTCATTTGTAGTTTTCCTGAGTTACAGATCTTTTTGCAGACCTATCCTCAAGTTCTTTTAGATCCTCTCTGGGTGGTCAGTACTGGAGCTCGTTTTGTAAATTGGCCAGAATTGTCAGATGTAAATGCAAGAAACCTTGGCCTTAGAATGATGTGTAGTAATTAGCTACAACTGGTCTACTTCTCCAGTAATTTTGCACTACAAATGAAGGACATTGCATTGTGATCTGGCTACATTTTTTATGCCACACCTAAGAATGTGAAAGTTCTACAAGTAAATATGAACCTCCTGACTCTCCCTTTTATATATATATATTAGTTAACTCTTCCAACACGGGGTCAGTCAATTTGACCGAGTCACGTGACCTTCTGCACTCGTTTAAAGTTGACATAAATTTAATACTTATAACTCTCTATATATTGGGTATATCTTTACGAAATTTGGCAGTCTTTCAGTTAATATTACAAGACTTTCACATATAAAAAGTCATATTTCTTAGTGAAGTACTGTTACTGAAAAAATAAAGTTTTGTCCATGAATATATTGAGTATTTGTTTTGAATAGTCCATGTGCAAAGTAAATTTCATGTTAAAATTAAAAAGTACTTTTCGTCATCTCAAAAATCTCAAGTTTCCTTTGTGTAACCCTTAAACCTCCTAAATGTATTTCAAACGTTTTTTTTTCACTAAATCCTTATAGTTTATATGTTATTTTCTCTACCCTACTCTCAAACCTGGATCGGTCAATTCGACCAACCTCGTAACCACTAAAAAATAAACCTAAATTAGCCTTCTTTTCTTTCTAGTATAACTTCAGATTGTAACCTGAAACTACATTTGTTTATCCTCTAAATTTGTAACATTATACATCTATTTATAATTAAATTTTATAGTTTTATTGCCCTTTGAATCATGTCTAACTGCTATCCGCTCCATTATAAGTTGTAAATCACTCGGGAAACGTACAGTTCACGTTATGCTATCGAATTACATCACCCATGAGCTGCTCTCGTGCGTGCTATGTGAACAATTTTAATTATATTATTATTACTTAATTTACCTATTCTAGTCTTAAATAACTTAAAAAGATCTGTACTTTTAATTTTAGTTACTTTTATAATAATAAATAAAGAATAAATATGAAAAACAAGAAATAAAGTACTTACTCAAGCTTATTTTTTCTTGCCCTCGATTGTCGAGTAGAGTGAAGCCTGATTTTTTCTTTTTTTTAGCGATTATGGTAAAGCACTTAAGAATTTTTACTTACTTAAATAATACACCAAAGAATATAGACTAATAACATGCAAAAAGTAGACACATTCACTTACTTCTAAAAATTTTCCTGGCTTTCTAGCTATGAGACAAGAGCTGTTAGAAATTCATCCAAGCTAGTCGTTAACTTTCCCACAGGAACGAAATTGCTACTCCCAGTGACATTAACGGTTATCTGTTCAGAACACAATGCTATACAATACGCCATTTGATAGATGAAAACCTTGACTTTCTATTGGTTATAGGTAATATATAATGAAACATAAGAGAGAACTATCAACGAATTGTGAAAGAGAGGATGTGACAGGTGGGTGTGTCAGAAGGGGTCTGATTTTTTCTTTGATAGCTCTGTAACAAAACAAAATTGAAGGCCATAAAAATTATGGTCTGTTTGAGCAAAAACAATTTTATAGAGAGCATTTTACGTTTAATTTCATACATTTTTGAGGGGTGATGGATAAAATAGGGATGATGACATGCTAAGACAAAATTTGTCATGTGTGTTACACTGGTGGAAATTCATGATTTTTTTATATATTTCCTTTTAGAATTAAGAACTTAAAACTGGTATAATATTAAAATATTGATTATTAGCTAAGATTTTATGCTATTCTAATCGGTATAACATAAACTAAAAGTAGTGTAATAAAATTTTTAATGTAAGACACTAAAACCTTGTGTCATGCGCAGTAAAGGGTACCCATGCCGATATGGTTAAAGGGTGATGAGGGCAAGAAGATATCCTGCTCAGAAGATTGCATTCTCTGTATGTCCTCATTTGGTCACAGTGTTATAGTATTTGCCACATCATTCATTTTCCCATGAAGCTAGTCTTGTTCTGGGTTCTCTTCAATTCTTTTAATTTACTATGCTTATTAAGGATGCTACTTTCCTACCCAAATTTTTGTGACTTTATGTGAGGAGACCCTGCTCAGGAGAATGCCTTTTGTTAGTATTCTTATTTGTTCCAGTCTCATATGAGGCTGGTCCACTCCACCTGTTTTTCCATGAATCTAGTTCAGATCTGAGATATTACTTTCCTGCCTAGAAACATAAATTTTGGTGCCTAGGTCCTTTTAACTCACCTCCTTCTTTATGTGGTGTTTTTTGTTTTTTTTTTGTATTTCAATGGTAAGTTTTACACTTTATATCTAAGCAGAGGGACATACTGTTTTTCTGTTGTTTCTTTTTTCTTTCTTTCTTTCTGTCTTCTTCTTCCAAACACTTTGCAATTGACTGCTATTCCTCATTTCTCAGTGGATTAACTTGAAACTTGATAGGGTTATACCTTGGTCCAATACACGCAGACACCTTTTTAATTTTTTTTTATTTAGCCTTTTTAAATTATTTTATGGATCAAAGGTTAAACAACTCAAAAATGTATGTTTTGGGCTCCTGTATGGTTATATGTACAGCAATCAAGATGAGAATTGGCACAAATATAAATTTTCATGCATCCAACACATTTTGAGTCATTTTGCTGTATTTTGGTCAATTTACATGGTATTTGATACAATGATATCTTTTTTTACAGTTCCTAAACAGAAATATAGACAATTTAGGAATTTTTGTCTTTTGTACAATTTTACAGTGAGGAAAGCACTATATATGTATGTCAATCAACTTACATGGGATTTGGTACAAAGATACCTTCTTGCAGGTCCCAAACAGTGATATAGACAGTTTTAAATTTTTCACGATCCTGGACAGAAGATGTGTATGAATGTTATAGCCACTGTCTGTTTGATGATATGTTGTGTCATCCAACTGGTTAAGGGATGTGACATGGCATGTTTAATGATATGTTGTGGCATCCAACTGGTTAAGGGATGTGACATGGCATGTTTAATGATATATTGTGGCATCCAACTGGTTAAGGGATGTGACATGGCATGTTTAATGATATGTTGTGGCATCCAACTGGTTAAGGGATGTGATATGGCATGTTTAATGATATATTGTGTCATCCAACTGGTTAAGGGATGTGACATGGCATGTTTAATGATATATTGTGTCATCCAACTGGTTAAGGGATGTGACATGGCATGTTTAATGATATGTTGTGGCATCCAACTGGTTAAGGGATGTGACATGGCATGTTTAATGATATGTTCTGTCATCCAACTGGTTAAGGGATGTGATATGGCATGTTTAATGATATGTTTGTCATCCAACTTGCTAAGGGATGTGATATGGCATGTTTAATGATATGTTGTGTCATCCAACTGGTTAAGGGATGTGATATGGCATGTTTAATGATATACTGTGTCATCCAACTGGTTAAGGGATGTGATATGGCATGTTTAATGATATGTTGTGTCATCCAGCTGGTTAAGGGATGTGATATGGCATGTTTAATGATATATTGTGTCATCCAACTCATTAAGGGATGTGACATGGTAAATTCATCAATTAATCTAGATCTGTTTTAATTTCAAATATACGTGTACCTTTTCAAAGTTGGTTTGATGTTTTTTGGAGCTAACTGTATTAGATTATAATA